TTGGTGTACTTCGTTCAGTTACATTATTGCTTCTATCACTGAATGGAAAATACAAAAAATATTCTTTATTCAATGTATTCTGTTAACTGTGCCCAAACCTTTTAATACATTAAACCATAATTTAAAGCACAAGTTTTTAAATTTAAGAGTGCCGAGAGTTTATGATTGTTTCAATTCCTATTGAAAAGCTCCTATCTAAAATAAAAGCTTCTTCATGGCTTCTTCTAAAACGATATAATTATGTCCTTGTTTACGTGCGGTTTGTATTTCTTTTATTTTATCAGTTGCAATCAATAATTATTTAGATAAAAGAAGAAAATTAATTTTAGTGTTCGGCAGGTGTTTGGTGAAATTTGGGTGAGATGGAAATGAACCAAATAATAGTAGTATTCTTTCGTTCTGAACGAAATGAAAATTTTCACTTAAACTGATTTATTCCTACGTGGTATAGGAAATAACAATGATTTCTGGATTTTTCTATATCGGATCGTTCCTTTCTTTGTCAATTCCCTTTATAAATCAGTTCAAGTGAAAATTTTCAGTTCGTTCCAAACCAAACGAAAGAATACTACTAATAGTACTATACTAATTACTAATATTCGTATTCGTCCATAAGAGGTTATGATTTATGTTCATTTGTAATTCGGCTACCACAGATATAATATAAAATACTACTAATTTTTATCTCGATTATATTGAAAAAGATAATTCGAATTAGTTAGTTTTAATTTACGATCGAATTAGTCGTATTATTTAATTCGAATTTTCCCAACACTAAACAAAAGTATTGATTATACTCTTATAGCCATAGAATATAACCTGACCAACCCTGTAGCAAAGCCTGTAGACAGCTTAATGAGCTTAATGAAGAATCAAATGTATTAAAGAGATAAAAGTTGGATTGGTACATTTTTTCCATGCGGTATTGCCAGATTTTGCATCAAAATTGCAAACCACACAAGTAGGCATTTACGAAAAATGCTGCATCTAGGGTTGGAACTTATTTTTCACAATTAGCTACTCATTTTACTATAGCTGTAATAGTTTATATTTAACTTAGATATGTTATCTTCATTTTAGTAGTATACATGAAAGTTTTTAAAATAGTTTATTTTTTTCTAATTTATTTAAGGCTAAGATAATAATATACCAGGTTGACAAGAGAAGGGTCTTGGGTCGGCGTTTACCTACATGTTTAGAAGTAAATCGCTATGACGACTTTATATGTCGAGGAGAGAAAACTGTGAAGTTTATTACCTAACTATGCATATATCTGCCTACATATGTAAAAACTATATTATGCCGCTGTTTATTTTATTTTGCAACAAAAAAAAAAGACCAAAATATGAACACCAGCAACCAAAACAGGAATTATTAAATGAATATTTTATAAGTTAATGATGAGGTTTATGAATATTTAAAGTCTGTTGGAAAGTGGCCATTTTGTGTTGGTACACAATTTATTTATGATGTTATGCCGGGTCCAGACTAAGGCGACAAAAAACACGATTTTGAGACAAAAACAAGGCAAACTTGCGACAAATGGTCCATACCGCAAGGACAAAAGTACAAAGTTCAGTTGTTGCGAATGAGTTTTATGTATGATTTCACACACAGAGAAAGAGAGGGGGAGAGAGGGAGAGAGGGAGAGAGAGAGAGGTATGGTTACCAGATCTAGACGAAAAAGAGGAATAAAACACAGACAATAATTAATTTTCTTGCGCATTTACCATAATACGGGATTTTTTGTTTTAATTACATCTTAGAGAATTTTGCTAAAAAACTCTATAATATAGTATATAAAAGCACACCATTTTAAAAGATTTTCAACAAAATTATAAAATGGGGTATAAAAAATAACAAACTAAAACTAAAGTTGTGTCATATAGCATTGTGCTATAAATCATAATGCTAGATAATAAAAAGAAAAAAAAACAAGTCTTAAACAGCATAATGAAAATTACTGTGAGAAGAGCGAGGGGGGATTTTTTTTGGCGTTCTTTTGTCGCCTCGTTCGATTTTGTTTTGTTTTGAGTTATTTCCAAAACGTGGCGGTATCTGTTTCGAATCAAAGGGTTTTTTCTCATAAATCTCAGTGAAATAAGTAAACCTAGACGTTTCTAAAATAGCTGTTGTTACGATGATATTTCATTAATTACATGTCGTTTTATGTTATATTGATCTATATTCCACATTCCACAGAATTAATATTTCAACACGCGTTTGTTATATGTATAGTAGATATTTAGGAATAAAACTTTTCACTTAAACTGCAGAAATAGAATTACAATATTTTTATGATTTAATTTTATTATAATAAATTAGTATATAAAATTGTATATGATATGTTTGTTTACGGCCTTAATTGATTAATATAAGAATAGTATTGCTTGATGAGTATTACTGGTACTCAATCAGATGTACTTACTCATCATGATGATGAGTATTGATTGATGAGTAATACTGGTAACATTATCAATATATAATATCCGCTTGGGAAAATTATTATTTGACGCGATATCAACAAAAGTATGGTCCACGGCATTATTTAAAATCAGTGTTTTTTTATTGTTCATAAGAGAAATCTGTAAAGCATACTTTTATTAAGCACCCAGCATGGTTTGATATACATCCATTCAACTAGTATTGATTATGCAGGGATTTAGACAATTAAAACTAAGAAAACAAAACCAAATTTGTAAAATAAACTTTGCTACAGACTACAGTATAACTGTTACTTTACCATAACCAGAAATAATAAATAATTAGACGATTTTTTAAACAATTTTGTGTATATTTTGTTCATGGATTATAAGCCGATAATTGGTAGACCGCTAGTTAGTCACTGTTTTATATTTTTTATATATCGCTGTGAATTAATAATATTAGACAATGATTAAAATTAAATATTCTTTTGTAAATATCATTATTCTGTTTTCATATCAGTTTTTTCATGTTTACTTATTTTTCTGAAGCCAAAACAACGTTTGACCCTGATTGCCTCGTGCTATTTCACAAAATAGAACGATAAATATAATCCCGTGTTATAAAAATTAGTTCCCACGTTTCCTGAAATTGATCGAGACGCGCCTAGATTAACAATAAAAAACAAACAACCAATCACGGCTGGTCTCGATCAATTTCAGAAAACGTGGGAACTAATTTTTATAACACGGCCTTATATTTATCGTACTATTTCCAGAAATATTTCGGGGATAGTGTAGCGGTTGTTTTACAAATGGACTTCTATCAAAAAGTACTAACACTAACACACAAAACTATTCTAAACATACAAAATTATTTTTAATTAGATAAGGCAAACAAAATATATATTATTATTTAACAAACTATATTTAATAATTATGTCGAAGTAGAAGGTGTACTCCATGTACTTGCTTCAATTTCAACCTGTTCATATTTCGCCGATACACTAATTTTTTTAAGTAAATCTTTTTTTGTTAACAAGTACTTTTGTTACACAGTATATAACTGTGAGCAGGTAAATTATTTTAAATTAAACTGCGTTTCCAATATCGCCTTAACAGACGTTACGGAAAGTCTGTTTCTCTCATCTGTCCATTGGTCACCGATTAATGAAAAAATTGTCTCAGAATGCTTTATGTGATGGTAATGCGAAAAAAATTGACATCGTTTGAGAAACTCGCTATGGATTTCCTCATTGGAAACGGTAGAAAAGTATATCAACCATTTTTGATAGGAGAGTAATTTATGGAAAGATTTTTCGTTGTAGTGATAAATATGTACTCTATAGAGGCCAATAGCCGTAAATCCAAAAATCAAAGGTAACAAAAAGAATTATATCACCTCATTTTACGCATAAAATTTATGCATAAAAATATTTTTGCTACATGTTATTCTTATATAATTCAAATAAAATATTGAATCGATAATCGACACCAGTATTTTTTTTGATACCAAATGAGCATTGAAAGAAATTATCTAACTAAATGTATTTAGTACCAAAAAAAATTATCCATACTTTACTTGTATTTACTCTTATTGAATTATACCTAGGACGAGGCAATGATAAGGAACGGAAACTTGGATCTGGACATAATCCAGATGCCTCAGGAGATCCCTAGTCTGTTTCAAAACGTGGATTTGCCTTTTGTGGATTGCGATTCATCCCAATGTTCTAATCCATCGCCACATGGAGTCGGTGCTTCGGTAGTCAGACGCAGGCAGTCCCCAGTGATGACAGTACCCTCGACAAGTACCTCGATGCCAAAGGGAATTCCGGGTGATCTGCATCCTTATAAGTATAAAAGTAAGTGATATTTCTGTATTGTTGAATTATTCTTATACATGTAGATGTAACCGAGTCTAAAACTAAAACTGTGAAACTAGTACAAGTATAACAACTTGTACTGGTGAGCCACCAGACTTCTGTTTCTAAATGTTAAGTATTTTTTTATTTCTTGTAAATATAATTTGTAGTTTGTTCGTCTACTAATTTCTACTAGCCTAGGTAAGTGTGGATGCCATATTTTCTATGATGTAAGGCACTATTTAAGTTGCTGTGAATTTATGATCACATAGATATTCAGAATGTGGGTAACATGGTAGAACGTCGAAGAATGAACTTGCATCACTAAAAAGTTTTATATAATTTCGTCTTTAATTCGGAAATAATATAACATTTTCAAAATTTTGAATTAGATTAGTTTTTGAGAGTGACTTTTGTTTACTTTAATTTATGTTGATTTCGATATTTTTTTGTGATTTTTGAATTTAATGAGAGTTTAAAACTTGAATTTTGATTTCAGCTCACCAAAACGCCGACCTGTTCCAGGACTGTCAAAAATTGCTGGACAAGTTCAACTACCCCTGGGAGTTGATGCCTTTGATGTACACCATCCTGAAGGACGCTAAAGGAGACTTGGATGAAGCTTCCCGAAGGATAGACGAAGGTATGTATAGACACTAATTCAGGTTTTAATGGCGGATCGCCTGACTCCTGATTAAATAGGCGTATTAAGGTAAACATTACGTTTTATTAAGGTGCTTAAATAATTATGTAAAGTAGCCTTTTAAGTATGATAAAAAAAATAGAATAATAATAGGAGCACCTTCATGTTGTGGTCTGAATTTCGAGAGTTTACCTTTGTATGTTTATTTGAATTTTGTAAATTGTATTTATTTGTTATAAATATTGATAATAAAAAGTTTTTTAATAATAATATATGATTATATATTAGATTTGTGCATTTGACGGAAATGTAATTCAAACATATATATTGTTGCGGACCCGTGTGGACTCGACCTAACCTAACTATATGTCCCGCCCTCAGATGACCTTAACATCGCATTAAAGAATAGACACCTTAATGATTCATTCGTTCGAGAAGAATCGAGTCCCACTGGAATGGACTAGTACATATATATATATATATATCGATGTCATTTCAATGGCTACAGTGCTCCTTTTTGTGTATGACGTGATATTGAAATAATAATTATGATTTTTAATGTATTTTAAGTTAAAAAAAAAATCAATTTCTGTTAATCTAGGCAAAAAGGCAGTTAACGAATACTCCAGAATAAACAATTTGAATACGTATGGTGGCGTATAACTGCGTCACACATCGGCACCGTCGATATCACCGAAATAACAAGGCCGACAGCTTTCTCGTGACGTCATCAACTGGAGGTATGAACTAAATTTTAAAAGCATTATAATAAACTTGATACTGTACTTGGGTACCAATATCCTCCGGTTATGTGCTAGGAAGTAAATTTTCATGCATATTTTCATCGATAGGTTAGGTTAGGAATAATGTTTCTGAATAATGGTCTAGTAGGTAAAGCATTTAGCTCATTTGCTAGCTCAGAATTGCAATTATTAGAGTTAAGCAACTCGCATTTTCATTGGAGGACATTGTCATATTCATTTCAAACCATCAATCAACGAGAATATTCTCATAATTTAACAAAATTACTGTAAACCACTATAAATACAGCCAGTTTTTGTCACCCTTACTATGTTTCAATGCAGATAGTATTTCTTCAAAGGTGAAAGGTTGGAAGGATATAGTAATATCGATTATTGGTATAGGAAGAGTCTAATAAAACAAAAATATTAAACGAAATCCTGTTCGTCTATTACAAAGTACAGGCTGTTTTATTTGAAGAAAAATACAGTATTTAGGATGCATAGTACATCCTGTATATACCTAATAACATTGCAAATTTTAGTAGGCTGAACTTTCAAGAATACATTATTATACAATACTTTCGATTAAAAAGAGTAACAAAAATTTCGATTTGAAAATTGGAGAGATTTTTAAAGGTAAATTTACAGTTGAGTGTAAACCTTTGGTGTTAGAACAGCAAAATAAAACACTAATTTACCACAATACACCAAAACACTTTACTTTTGCACTGGACGCACGTTTCGCTAACTATGTTAGCATCATCAGCAGATGATTAAAACTGGAAGGAATATGACTATATAAACTGGAAAGAATAGGAAGCCATTGAGTGGGACTTGATTTAATCGTTCCTTTTATTGTTCAATTAGACGTCTACTTTTCCTGTTGGAGAAACATTGAGCCACACCCGAGCACAGTACTCAGCATCAGTTCTAACCATCGTACATAACCTCAATTCTAACCCACTGCATTTCTTTTTTTTTAATCATCTGCTGATGATACTAACATGGTTAGAGAAACGCGCGTTCAGTGCAAAAGTATAGTGTTTTGGTGTATTGTGGTGAATTAGTGTTATAGGTAAATTTAGTTTAAAATGGCCATTGAGATGATAAAATGTATAGATTTTAATTTTAGCAATTTTTTATAACGTAAGATGTTAACGTTAGGCCTTTAGTGATTTTTTTATAACGTGTTCCTGGGGTCGAAATATACCACTCCTGAAAATATTTGCACTTTTTTAAGACCCATCCTGTATATCCATATGGGAAGAATGTAATGTAATTGTTTTTTTTTGTGTTAACTCTACATAAGCAAATAACTTTATAGGGAAGCGCCCAGTCGAAAAATTTTATACAAAAAACTGTAGTATCTTTAAAAAAAATCTTCACATTGTTAAATTATATATTTTTGCTCTTACATTGTTTTTGATTAACAAAATTTATTCTTTTTTTTGCACGTGTAGAAACGAAGATTACTCAAGATAGAAGGGCAATTCCAGCGAGACGTCCATCCAGTCTGCCAATTTGTCTGTTAAATTCAACTTTTTAATTTAAGTAAAAGAAACAACAACAAGAAGAAGGTGTATAGAAAATTCAGAAGAAACACACGATTTCATTTTAAGGGAGACTGTAAACAGAAACAGATATTATAAACAACGTTCGCTAGTATATATCTAGTATCATCTAACTTTTAGGAACCTCCATGGTATTTTTTATAGATTTACTTAATTTGAACTTTAAAAAATACAAGTAATGTTTAAGGTATTATTTATTGACTGCATTTACTTGTTTATAATAGAACAAAGAAATCTGAATATTCTATGACGTTTAAGATAAGAAACATAGGGTTCTAGGTTCTAGATATACCAAGGAAGTGATTCTAATGGCACTAAAATACTCCTAAATTTTAATACGTGAATGTCCAAAAAGTTAGACGTTGCCGTCAGAAATAATTTAGATTGTATATGTTACGGCAAAGATAATTCTTATAATAATCTTTGGTTACGGTTAAAGTCCGATGTCCGGTTAATGTCGACATTAATAGGTTAATTTGTGGGTTTAATTCTTAGATTATTTTAGGCGTATCTTTTAATTTTCTTGCAATTTTTATAATCGAATTATGATTGATATGATAATCCTATCACTAATCCAAACAAGCAAAATAGTCAAACGCACGCACCTACACCAATTAAATTTCTTGTATCATAAAATAAAGGGCACCAGACGCTCTAAATTATAACTAATAATAATGACCTGATATTATTTTGAATCATAAACACACTGTTATCGGTCATAATAAACGATGTATGTATTAGATAACTAAGGACTAGTAACATATTAGTCTGTTATGTTTACTATGGTAAAACATCAAGGCCTTCGGGGAACCTCTAAAATATTTTTCATTTAGTTGGGATTTTAACACGTTATTTTGTGTCACAATAGACAACTTTTGCACACTTCTTCGTTACGTGCCGTCTCTTTCGTGGAGGTTGGCGATCACATTGGCAAAATCTTCACGATTCTCGGCTTTCCTTATGAGTTCTTCAAATGTTAGGTGAGTCCAGTTTCTGATGTTTCTCAACCAAGATAGTTTATTCCTGCCGAGACCTCTCTTTCCTTCATGTCTTTCTTATTTTTATTATATTGAGCAATTCTCTTTCTCTGCCTATTCTGTTGTAGACTTCTGTATTTGTGATATGAGCTGTCTATGGAATTTTAAGCATTCTTCGATATATCCATGTTTCGAACGATTCGAGGCGATTCATCTCTTGAACTTTCAGTGTCCATGTTTCTGCTCCATATAATAGAATTGACCAAACATAACACTAACGAGCCTAGTTCTTAACTCAAGGTCCAATCTGGGGTTCTGGAAGACGTTCTTCATTTTTAAAAATGCATTTCTCGCTTGTTCTATTCTAGTTTTTATTTCCACGTCGTTGTTCAAGGTGTTAACTATCCAGGACCCCAAATATTTGAACTTGTAGACCTGTTCTAAGGTATTGCCCTCTATTTTAATAGGAATTGGTACATTTTGGTTTTTTCCAAATACCATGACTTTAGTTTTGGAAGAATTGATCTTCATCCCGTATTTCTTACAAGAGCCTTCAAGTCGTTCCACTAAACTCTGGAGACCAATATCAGAATCGGCAATAAGAACTGTGTCATCGGCAAATCTAATATTGTTAATGACTTCGCCGTTGACTTTAATACCGCAATCTGTTGAAGAGAAAGCTTCCCGAAAAATCGCCTCAGAATAAACATTAAATAACGAAGGAGACAGCACACATCCCTGTCTTACTCCTCTCTGTATATTGACTGGATTGGAATTGTCATTTTCAACTTTCATGTGGGCTGTTTGTTGCCAATATATATTCTTCAGAAGTGTTACATCTTTGTTGTCAACTTCCAACTCATACAACATTTCGATAAGTCTCGTCTGTTTGACTCTATCGAATGCTTTTTCGAAGTCTACGAAACACACATTCATTGGTTTTTGTTGGTCTGTACATTTCTGCGCTATCAATTGTAAACAGAATAAGGCCTCTCGTGTTCCCAATCCACTCTTAAACCCAAACTGTTCAAAGCCGCTTTCTTGCTCACAATTCTTATAAATTCTGTTATGTATTATTTTAAGTAATACTTTCAGTGCGTGACTCATTAAACTAATAAGTCTGTAATCACTGAGATGTCGAGCTGATGGTTTTTTCGGAACCGGTACAAAAGTTGAGTGGAGCCAGTCATCACGTACTTCTCCTCTATCATAGATCTTGTTAAAAAGCCTAGTCAGTATATCTACGTTCTCTACACTAACTACGTTTGCACACCAACCCACTTCAAATTTTGAAAAAAGTGAATTTTTGCTCCACCCTAATGGCTACTAATGTTAAAAATGTTTATTCAGACTATTACATTATTTTTCTCTACGTGGTGTGGTAGTTGCTAATATATTAAAGTTGAAATTGATAGTATCTACTAATTACTGATGTAGTTATTGGTTATTGATTTAGATTACTATTTTTATATATTTTAGACATTAATTTAGGCACTTTTTACATTTCATTCTCCTAAGATCCTTCGCATCGTATAAGAGGCGCCACCCAGTATAAAAAAATACAAATAGAATTATTTTATATTTAAATTATTCTAAATTTTCATTTTAACTACATATAAAATACAGACTTATAATATGTAAATTTAATGTATCTATATTTTACATACATATAATTAGTTTCAAATTTGTATTTTAATTGGAAACATATTCTATTCAATTGATAATTACCTATATATAGTATAAATTGATGGATACGCATCATTAAATTACTGATAATTATTTTATAAAAAAATGTACCTACTAATCTAATCTAAAAAAAGGGCATCACCAATTTCGGCGATGTGGTCCAATATAAAATCGATGTCATTCCTAGTTAGTGAAGAATTCTGCGATACGAATCTGAAAAAATTCGGCAAACTCTTCAAGGGTTGATAATTCAACATTACAGATCCGTGGTTAGCCATTACCATTTTGATTTGCGGCGCTACCTATGGAGAAAAAGCGACAGTTAATGTTCTAGTTATACTTATGACTAAGAGATGGCAGTAAAGCATTGCAGAAAAATGTAATAGGAATTTTATATTTTTGTATAATAGGTGTCGCATCGGCAATAGTAAATTTCTTAATTGTTCGGGGCATCAGTAAATGAAGACCATTCATAGATGGCACTGTATTATTATAAATGCGTTATTTTTAAATAAATCTTCAGATCAATATTAAAAGTTGGAGAGCTATTTTCTTACAATTAGATAATTATTTTTAATTTAAAGGTAAAAATTGTTTGTAAAAATTGAGTTTTTCGTCAGCAAGTATAGGTGAGATGTTTAAATAAATACTGCGTTAAAAATAGGTAAAACTGTTTTTTGCATATAATATGATCTATACAGGGTGATTCCTGTAAGTTGGTCATGCTTTCGGGGAATAATGAGGAACGTCAAAATATTAATTTTGATATAGCTTACTATGTGTCGGAAATGTCTCTTACGCAAGATACAGGGTGTTAAAATTTTTGAAAAATTAAAGATATTCTTTAATAGTGTTTTAACAGTTGAAGGTATCGTTATAAAATTTTATTATAGGAGTCTACCCAACACAGACACTTCAGATGTAAAAAGAAGAGGTTTTAGTTTCAACCAGTGGCGTAGATGTGATACACATCGGGTAATTTGTTCAAAAAAATAGTACGCCACTGATAAAAATAAAAATTTCGGAGTTCTTTTATTTATTTGATCTATTTCCAAGAAAAAATGTCTCTTGCAACTTTCTCCTATCTAACATCATTTTGTCACAATTTAAAAATAAAAAATAAATTATTTTTTTTAATGCGAACCCTAAATATGCGAATTATAGTGTATTTATAACTACCTTAAAACTAAGAATTTTATACCGAGTTAATAAATAAAACTCTAAAAATTTTATTTTTTTATCAGTGACATACTATTTTTTGCAAAAATTACACATCTACGCCACTGGTTGAAACTAAAACCTCTTCTTTTTATATTTAAAGTGTCTCTGTTAGGTAGACACCTATAATAAAATTTTATGACGATACCTTCAACTGTTAAAAAACTATTAAAGAATGTCTTTAATTTTTCAAAAACTTTAACACCCTGTATCATGCGTAAGAAGCATTTCCGACCCATAGTGTGCTATATTAAAATTAATATTTCGACGTCCTCTATCATTCCCCGAAAGTATGACCGACTTACAGGAATCGCCCTGTATATATGATCTATATGAGTACCCAACACATTTTTTACAGTGTGTAAAAGCCCCCAGAACAACAAATCTAGAGTGTCACATCTTGAATCACTGAGCGATTTCTTTTAATAAATACAGCGCCTCTATTCAACATATTCAGCGCCGCTCTCTATTATAGTGGACAACAAACTGCAGGAAACAGGAATAGGCATGAGATACAGATACGACGGCGGTGTGTTCAACATAAAAAGACTCAGGGCAAAAATACATACAAAATTCATCACAGAACCTCAATACGCTACAGCAAATACACCAACGTTACAGCAATTACAAGAAATGCTGAACACATATACCTGGGCATACGAGGCTTTGGGCCTTAAGCTGAACATCGATAATACTAAAATTATGTGCACTCCCGGAAAATCATAACAATGTTATAAAAATCGGAGAAGAACTATTAGAATATGTAGCGGAATTCAAATACCTCATTCCTGCCTCACTTTGATTTCCAGTAGTGATGGGCAAAACTGTTATTTTTTGTTGAAACTGTTATAGTTATTTACAAAAAACAGCTTAAAATAACAGCTTAAAAATAACAGGTTTCTTTATTTTACTGCTAAATATCTGAAAGAGTATGAGGCGGTCACCGCCAGGCGTATTAACGCAGTTGCAAGTTGCAAGAATGACGTGCTCGGTGGTTGTATTTCCAGGGTGTCAAAACATTACTAAATATCGATTGTTATCTAAAATACCTCTCTAAAAACGGTGGTTGTTTACAAATAACCGCTGTTTACAAATTGCGATATAAAAAAGCCAAAATTCCGCCACTCGTCTATACCTATACATTCCGATCTACCTACGCCCTGCCTCTCGATCCGCGTAGATCCTGAATTGCGTAGCAGTGTACAGGGTGCATCTCACTCGACGGGCGAGAAGCTCTTAGTTATGATTTTACCATTTGCGGTCAAACAATAGTAATATAAGAAAATGTGTAATATATTCTTCATAAGTAAACCAGCTACACACTAGAGTTCGAATTAATTTTACACTTAAACTATCGTGTACCCGCGACTTCGTTCGCGTCGAATTAATAATTTGTAATGGTGATCATAAAGCAAAACAAGAATTTCCATTAACATACAAACTGGATAAAATTTTCTCACATTTGCCAAAAATAAGCTTTAAACGTCGAGCAGCTTAAGCAGAACCGTGGTTAATCAATTACTCAACTTTTTGGAACACCCTGTATCATTTTTTAAAAAATTTCAAAATATGTAAAAAAACAAAATAAATTATGCGTGTCCAGACGTTTTCCCGAAAGACTAACCGTTTTTTAAATAACAAATATTGTAATATTTTACGCTAGGGCGTTTTCACCCTATTGGAATTTGAGATTCGAGAAACCCCTCCTTATCGAACCTCAACCCCACAGTCAATCCGTTTGCCAAAAATCAGCTTTAAACGTCAAGCAGTTTAAGCAGAATAGTGATTACTCAATGGTCATTTTTATGAAACACCCTGTATATATTTTTAAAAAATCTTAAAGTATGTAAAACAACATAATAAAATATACGTGTTTTAAGAGTTTTTCCGAAAAACTCTCCAGTTTTTAAATAAAAAATATTCTAATATTTGAGGGTAGTTTCACCCCCTTAGAATTCGAGTTTCGAAAAATCCCTTCTTATCGAACCTCTACACCCTAAAGTCAATCCGTTTTCCAAAAATCAGCTTTTTACGTCAAGGGCTTTAAGCAGGATCGTGATTAATCAATGACCAGATTTTTCAAAACACCCTGTATACATTTTTAAAAAATCTTAAAATATTCTGAAAATTTTTCAGAATAAATAAATACCTAAATATTGAAACTTAATAAGTAAGTACTGAAACATACAGCGCCATAACATCTCGACCTCCGCCCGTTATGCTTGTAACAGGTTGAAAAACAATGTGTCTAAAACAACTGATGCGTTATTCTCCAACTTGCTTCGAACCTCCATCGACAATCGACCGATGCAGCAGCGTTCCTTTCCCACTCCGATTATCTCGACCGCCGCCCTTTTATGCTCGTAACAGGTTGAAAAACAACGTATCTAAAATGACTGCTTCTCCAACCCGTTGCGAGCCTCCATCGACAATCGACCGATGCAGCAGCGTTTCTTTCGCACTCCTGTTATCTCGACCGCCAGGCGTTATGCACAACTGTTTTAAAAAAACCTGCTTCTTTTATATCCTATTATTTTTAAGCTGTTGTAAGCCCAATACGACCATTGACGGCATCGGCCGAAGCAGCTACGTTCGCCGTAGCGCATTCCCCCACTCCGCTGTCCGTTGTCTCGCCGCCTGTATCGATGGTTGACGAAATAACATGTTTTCCATCCATACTCATGATACAAAAGAATACAAGGTATGATATTGCGCAGGTTGGTCACTACGTCACAGGTGATAAGCAGCACCATTGGTCGGCAAGCTCTGCGCGCTTTTTTCAGTTTTGTTATAATTAATTTTGTCTCTTGATCTACTTGTAACATTATTCTTTTAATTTTATTAATTTATTGTGGTGAAATTAATTTCTGTTGTATATTTGATATTGATATTAAACATATTTTTAAAAAATGGTGTATTTTTTGTTTTTGTGTATGTCATAATTAAAAATAAATGAAGAAATAACATTTTTTATTTTTTTAAACTTCCCGCCATGCGTGACAATTTAGTCCGTAGTTCCTACAAGCGAAATTGGGGGCGCTAGTAGCAGTAGACTTGTCAACAGTGTCAAATTTAAACGTCAATTTCACTTTCCAATATTTAGCAAGGCGCTCGCACTTCTTCTTGTGTATGTGTTTTGTGATACTAGTTGTTTTTTGGAATTGCTTCGAGCAGCATAGAATTTCGTGGCGGTGCAGAGCGCCGACTTCGTTTTTTGTTTCACGAGCGTCCGATCTCTACGTGTCGTTATTTTATATCTGTTATTTTTTAGAAGTAGTAACGGTTGCGTTATGTTATTTATAAATAATTGTTATAAAATAACAGATAGTTAAATAACAACCCATCACTAATTTCGGGAAAGGCCAATATCCACTCACCATTTACCATTTACTGCAATATTTAAAATATATAATTTTTCAAATTATTACAACGTGATGGGGTTTGCTAATATCTAAAAGCTTGCATTATTAAAGCATTTTCAGGTGTTTTACATTGTTGTAGTTGCCACGATATATTTCTTATTTCAAAAATCCCCAAAATCAGAAATCGAGAACAGATAAATCCGGGAATCGGGGAGGCCATATGGGTTCATTGTTTCCAATTCATTGATTTGAGAAATAATAATTTCACCAAATTCTAATATTTTCAAAGTTGTGAGGAGCAGCCCCATCTTGCTAAAAGTATATTTCACGCAAATTAGTTAAAGGAATATCTAACATTTCCGGTACGACCAACCAAACCAAGATTTACAAATAGCCGTAGGCAGAGAGTTAAGTTTCCCTAATATAGAAAGAATTTATTAGTGGCTCCCAAAATAAAACAAGAGTCAGATAGCAGTATTACTTTTAATAATTCTTTAGTTTCTTTTATTATATTATCAACCATGGCCTACTAATAAATATGATCTTTTAATAAAAACTTTTAAATATTGCAGTAAATAGGTGAAAATAAATATAAAGTGATATATATATTTTGGGAAGCTTATGGCAAGCCAGATCATATAATTTATAATTATACTGGGGTGTTCCATTTAAGAAAACATAACGTTAGATTATATCTTAAAATATTCTTTTCGTAAAATAACAGACTACGTAAAAAGTTCTACATTAGTTTTCACCTTCTCGATTAGCTTTAACCATAACAGAGATACGTCCCAAATTGCATAATTTTCAAAAAGACCCTGTAGCTCAGAAACGAAGAGGGCTATGAAAATGTTGTTTACGGCATCTTCCGTTTGACAAAAAAGTGGGACTGGTTTGTGCAAACCGGACCCTTCTATCTTCACTAATAACGGAGATATCCTATGATTTCAACCAAAATGGGACACCCTGTACATAACATTTTCTATAAATTCAACAATAATGTTTACTATTTTTTATGACCCTAAACATGCGTTAGGAATAGGAATAGCCCAAAACACAAGTTTTGGACTTTATCCATTGTCATGAAAACTGTCAGTTTTATTATGCTCTGCTCTAGATTATATTATGTTACTATAAATATAAAATTATTCAAGGTGGTTCCCCCTCCACCCGAACTGTATTCCGGAAACTTCGGCAGCATATTTTACAGATAAAAATAAGTAAAAAAGTGCGTATAAATGTATATCCTAAAATGCTTAGTTTCGGAAATACAGGGTGTAGAAGTTTCATTTTTAATTCGATTTTTTTCAATTAATTTATGAAGTAACCTCAATATTTGGATGAAAATTGGTGTCAGGGAGTTTTTTGATATGAGAAATTTGATCTTGACATCAATATGACTACTACTAGAGGGCGCCACCTACATATTTTTTAACAGGTTTGAAGAGTAATAACTTTTCGTCCGTACCTGAAACTACTGAGTAAAAAAATATACATTTACGAAGTTTTTTACGTAAAAAATGTCTCTTGGTAAAAATCGCTAAGGGTAATGGTTTTCGAGATATTTGGAATCGAAATTACCAATACCCATCATCATTGACAAAAATTAAACATCTTAACTAAATAGTTATTAGACTGAAATCATAAATTTGAAATGTTTTTGTGCCAAAATTACAACAGAAACAGTTTTATCATTTTTTGGCAAAAAGTTTATGATTAATTTAAAAAAATAAAAATTTACCAAATTTATATTTTCAGTCAAGTAACTATCTACTCAACGTGTCAATAAGACATGTATTAACTATTTTCATTCTAAATATCTTGAGAACGGTTGCTCGTAGAACTTTTTATCAAGAGACATTTTTTACGTAAAAAGTCATGGAACGTAAAAAAGTCATTACGTAAAAGTCAGTCTCATAGTTATTACTCTTCACAACAAGTAAAACACATGTCACAAAAATATGTAGATGGCGCCCTCTACAAGTAGGAGTCATATTGACATTAAAATCAAATTTCTCATGTCAAAAAACTCCCAGACACCAGTTTTCATCCAAATATTGATGTTACTTCATAAATTATTTAGAAAAAATCGAAATAAAAATGAAATTTCTACACCCTGTATCTCCGAAACTAAGCATTTTAGGACATACATTTATACGAACTTTTTTACTTATTTTTATCTGCAGAATATGCTGCTGAAGTTTGCGGAATACAGTTCGGACCACCCTGTATAAATATTATACAGGGTGTCCCAGAAATAATTACAAATATTTTAACTGGTAGTATAGTTCAACCCCAGAAACACGCCTATGAGGTTTTTTTCGCGAAAAAAAAAATTTGAAAATTCGGAATCTTTTGAAATTTATTTTGGAAGTTTTTTTAGTTTTTATTTAAAAAACATAATTTCTTGATAATATGGCAACATAGGTAGTACATTAAATTTACAAGAAAGAAAATCCAGAAAAGATCCAGTGGTTCTCAAAATTTAAGCAAAAAAATTTTTTTTTTTTTTAATTTTCAAAGTAAAGCAACCAAACCAAACTCCGTTATTTTGGACTTATTTGAAAAACGATAAAGAGAAAATATGTTTCCTTTATCGAGATCTACCACCCCTTAAAATATTTGCACTTATTTCTGGGATACCCTGTATAAATAGAGATTTTATTACGTTACTAGAGGTCGTTCCAAGCATGTCCTAGACAAATTTCCCCTCTCCTACCTTGTGCAATTCGGCGTGAAAATCCGAAACGTTCGGTCTGGACCTCAAATATCTCGGCAAATACCAGAAGCAAACGTTCATGTACTGGCGTTGCGAGACCGGTGCGAATTCGGGTCGGCAGTTCACTTGCTCCTCGAAATAGTGGGCCAGGTCCATGAGGACGTCGATGTGGCTGGCGAAACCAGCGGCACCCTGGGAAATAACAACAGTAACGAAATTAGCTGTATAGCTGGTGCTTCGAGCGGCAAAGAATAGACCGGATAAGGTTTATACTTCATTATTTTTTCGATAGAAAAAGACCTAGATCCTATAGGAAAGTTCCTAGCTAAATATCTTGCACCATAAAAATTTTAACTGCAATATATTGATTGTATAACTTTCTTATTAATGATTTAGTGGAGGGCCCGGAGATTTTTACCTCGGAATTCAATTACTGTCAATGTATTAATTTGAAACCTTCTGTATTGTGTTTTATAGATAAAATACTAAAATGTTTACCCATTTTTTTTTCGTTGCTTTCAATTTTTTAGTTTAGTAATTATAGTAAATTCTTAGTATTTCCTTAATTTATTTTTTTTTTCAATTTTTGTTCTAAGCATATTTATTGAAATAAATGAATCTAATGTATAAGCTATTCTGTTTGTATTCTAATCATTGAAATCGAATTATACAGGGTGGCGCTCTTTTAAAATATTTATCATTTTTTAAAAATGAAGAATACCTACATTTTAAATTTTAATTCTTTATCCTTAAAAATTTCCTTAATATCCATAATTTGAGGTTTGGAAAACTACTGGCTACCGTGTCGGATAACGGATCCAACTTCGTGAAAGCTTTTAAGGAATTCGGACAACTGGGCATGAAATCCCATAAAAAAAATGGAAATTTAGAATTTAAAAATATCTCAGAAAATCTGGAAGGGATGGAATCTAATATCACAATCTCATTACCTAAACACATTCGATGTACTTCACTCACTTTGAATCTTATTGCGACTACTAATATAAAAAATATAATTCAGAAAGATGTTACATTGAGGCCTCGTCATACAAATATTTTGCAAAATGCAATGTTCTGTGGAAAATGGCAAGTCGAAAAGCGCAGAAATTATTCAAGAACCCTTAGGCCACACATTAAGTTATCGAGGGCCAACACGCTGAAATTCTCTGAATGATGCTCTAATTATTCAAGAAAAAAACTGTTTAATAGAGCTATTCGAAAAGATGAGTATTAAAAATCAGATGCTCAGAGATGCTGTTATTGCTTTAACTGACTACTGCCGAATCACAGGCCGAATCTCCAAACATTTAGCAAATTCAGTTGACAGTTTACGAGGTGAAAAAATACCTTTTATGGATATCTTACAGGATATCTTACAAATCTGTTTACAGAGAAGGTGAATTTGGCAATATCAACTCATATGTACGCATAAACTTGTAGTAGAGACGGCCGGGAAAATAGAGGTAATAAAAGTGTATCCATTGAAAACAATATTATAATAGACACTACAGGTGAATTCTTTGAATTGTACTGTTCCAACTCTCCAGAGACGCTTCAAAGTTGCAATAAAAGGAAATTTAAACTTGAGATTTTGCAGTACGCAGAGTATCAAAGTAAGGACTTGAAATTATTAGATCAATATCCTGTTATACCAGAACTATTTTTAAGATAATATAGGTAACACCTTCCTACCGTCATCGGCACCCATTGAAAGGCTTTGCAGTTTTGCCGAAATAGTAAACGCACCTCGAAGACATGCGCTTTGTAACTCGCCCTTTGAACAATTAGTTATACGAAAGTCGAACGGTAAAAAACTGACTGCCTTGAAGTAAAAAAAAATATGAGTACTTATTAAACTCTGTAGTTTGGGTATTTACTTAAGCTTAAGTTAGCTCATTTTATAGTTTTAAACAGTTCATTATCAATACTTATTTGTAACTACATTTTAGTTGCATACTTGTTACAATTATTTGTATTTTTTGTGCTATTCATATAATTTTTATTTTTACTTCAAATTCTTTAAGTACTTCATAAATCCATGAAATAAACATGTAATATTTGAAGTACTTTCCTTGAACAAAACCAAGTATTATACTAAAGTATTTGAGTCTTAAAATACTTTTTAAATGAAAGTTACTTTGGAATTGTATTTGATTAATATAATTTCCGTAACTGATATTTGATAGATAACTTGAAATGCTTTCTTCCAGTACTTGTGACAGCTCTTCCTTGTATCGTGAAATGTTGTGTCTTTCAAAATACAACATTATATTTCCAATTTAAAAGTAGGTACAAAAAATTTGCTATTTCATAATTTAGAGGGTTTATTGTGTGTAGAAACTGTAGATGTATAAATGGCCATAATTCAAAAACTACTCAGTATACTCTATGGTATTAAGGTAATTTTTGAACCGGAATTTTATAGCAAATTTACTGAACTAAACAAATATAAAGCATTTCATTTGAAATACTAAAACTTAAGTTTAAAAATATATTTGACACACCCTGTAATATATTGTGTAAAACTTGGAAAATAAGTTTGTAATAATAATGCTTTTATTTATTCAGTATTCTAATAAACAATATGCATTCCTTCGGAAACTCTATTTATTTATCTAGTAATGCTAAAACACTCTATTTGAAAGTCGATTAGAGAAAATAGTATGATTCATTGGCAAGCGATGTAAATATTTGTGATCAGGTAAAATTGTGATGTAAGAGGAGGCTTAGCTTGCCGGCGGCGGGTCAGTAGTAGACAGGCCGGCTGTAGTGTTCTGTTTTGTCACAGAGCTGACATTTGGAAGTAGCGAGTCTCTTGACTATGGAAGTAGAAAACCTCTTGTGACGTCGTTCCTTTGAGGATGGTCTTGAGAGTTTGAGGTCTCTCTTGCTTCTAGATTGACACGGTGGGGCGTTGGTGAGGACCCCAATTAGCCTCATAGATTGTGATGCGAATCTGTTTAGCGGCCGATTTGCGTCCGGGGGAAGCCTCTATACTATTTCAGGTGACACTAGCTAGTTGTTGAAGATTATTAACCAATAGATCCGAATAATATTTGAATTAGATGGAAGATATGGAATCGGATATATTGAATAGAATGTCAGTGGCTAGGGGGCGGAGTACCCCCGGGTGAGTTCTACTATTTAACTATCAATTTTATCCAGATCAGTAAATTTTTCTTTTGTTATTTTCATGTACAATGAGAGAGTGCTTGCCAATGACCAACTAAATGGATATTTGAGGTGAATTTGCATTGTGAGACCCGGTTGAGTAAGCCCCAAAAATAGCGATTTTACAATTGAAAACATTTTTGAAATGTAAACTACCATTACACACATTTTGCATAAGGTTTGGAGTGAATATCTCAAATGGGAATCCTTTTTCAGAAAACGGAACCATCTTGTATGTATGTATTTGTATATGTGTGTATATTTAAATACTAAAGTGAAAGCAACGAATTTAAATGGGTAAACTTTGTAATATATCTTATTAACAATACAATGCAAAAAGTTTTATCAAAATTCCTTCACAGTACTTGAATTCCGAAGTTTGTATCCCACAAGGGCTTAAGGCACTCTACTAATTCATAATGAAAAAAATACCAAACTGGGCAGCAGCTGGGATGGGTCACATCTCTTATTCTAATATCAAAGATAACATAGTCCCGTCCGATCGAAAAAAAACGGCTGGGGAATAACAATCGATGATAATTTGGGCGAGCTGAAGCGTTATACAGGGTGTCCCAGAAATAAGTGCAAGTATATTAAGGGATGGTAGATCTGGTCAAAAGAAACATAATTTTCTCTTGACCATTTTTAAAACAAATTTTGTTGTATTTTAGAAAAATTTGCCCCACATTGTAGGTCAAAAGTTAAGATATTTAAAACAAACAAGGAACAGACTTTCTATAGTCTGTCCAACGAGAAGATCCTTGACAGTGATAGATGTGTCTGTCATTTTAATTTCAAAGTAGTTTATTTTATTTTACAAAGAAATAAGTTGGTACAACTGGAACGCATAGCAGGAAATATTTAAAATTTGATTGACAAGATGACAAGTGATTACTTCAAAATATTGTGAAAAAAAACTGTATAAAACTGAAAAAATGTAATCGAGTTATTTTATTTAATAAAAACGGTATGTGTTAATACAAAACAAACAAGAACAAGACACTACATACCAAAAAAATATAAAAAAGAACTATTATTTACTTTCAAGCTTTATGAAACTTTAATCTTAATTTTTTTAAACCAGTACCTTTTGACATTATTTTTCTGCAGTACTAAAATCCATTATTTGCCTATCGTGTGATGTCGATATTTTACAGCTACTCCAGTTTTTAGTATGTGTTTAGTTTGATCCTTCTACCTTATACGAGATGCACTTATCTACGACGAAATGGTATACAAACTTTATCGATGGCAACTTCATTGGTTTAAGACTTCCTGCCTGGGCAGCGAGTATTAACCATAAACTGTGCTCTGGGTCTACAGTTAATTTTCACTCGATTTTTCCTCCACTTGACTTCAAAAGACACAAAACACACGTAATAATACGAATCAAAATGCATCATCTTCCAAAACGCAGGGTATTCAACAAAAGTTGACACAAAATTATAACCTATAATTTGGCAAGACTTTGACAAGCGTCAAAAATCTAAAGGCGGGTTCATACGCATCGGCGTCCGTTTGTCGTTCATCGTTCCGTCAAACCAATAAAATTGAAATACGATCTGTCATTTTTTAAATAAACCAATAAAACTGGTTAAAAACAACAAGACACGACGCATGACGGATTTATATTTAAACCCATCCATAGATAACTTAAAAATAATTAGAAACTTTTTTTAGTAAAATAAATAGATTGGTATGGAACGTCATCTGCTTTTCTTCTGTCATCGTCTGTCGAAATCTTACCTGAGAAAAAAAACAGAGTATAGATGCACTTTGTCCATTTTTCCGAATTTTAGAAAACAACAAAGAAAAGCTGCTTCGTTTTTTGCAGGAAACTTACTATTTTATGTTTACTATTATTTTGATATTATATTTTTTATAATTATAGGTTTGCCATTTTTCTGAGTTTTTTTCCATAATGAGATGAAAATTCGGGATTTTAGTCAGATCACTGATTTTATTAAAACTAATGTAATAGATCTTTATGGTCGCGGTGATCAACCCCTCTCTTACTCATTCTACATTCTACTTATTGATTAATTCAAAAACGTAGATAATGAAATTATAGGCAGTTTTGATCAATACGATTATTGTTTTAGGTTTAGGCAATGAGTGATGCATCCCATAAAACAATAATAAAGAGTTAAACCATTTTTAAAAGATAAACACATACTCTAATATCACAGTATTATTGTCTCATCTTCGAAAAATGTTGGAAAACAAAGTAAAATAAACCTATATTGATTTAATACTAACTTTATAAAAAAGTAACAAAAAAGTTTCTTTTTCATTCTTTTTCTGTATTAGAAGAACTTTTTATATTAAAGCTAATAACTGGAGGGAATGTATAAAAGACGATATTTTATTATAGGATTTCGTATTCTGTTTTTGTTGTTCTGTCAAATTTCTCTTAAAAACAATTTTTAAAAAAAGTTTTCTTTTAAATTTCAGTAAATTATAACATTATTATGAGTACCCCATTTTTTTCAGACTAAAAATAACTAATATCGCTCCCTAGAAGAATATTTCGCTAACTTTTTCATTTCGCACGCTCGCAACTACACTTTTAGGCTCTTAAGTTAGGTACCTAGTTAATTGTGAAATATGACGCTTTTAAGTAAGGTTAGGTTTCCGTGGAGACGAAAAATTCGTGTACGGTGTACAATAGGAAAGGAAAATGAGGATGAGAGTTTCAAACTTGCCACTTAAAAAGGACACCAAAACCTACGAATATAATATTTAGTTTTAAATTTAATATGATGAGAAAGAAAATAAAAAAGTTGTTTCGAATTCTCGATTTTAATTGGGTCAATCAGTGGCGGCTCGTCAGGTGCAGTAGGTGAAGGGGCACTTCACCGAAAAAAATACTAAATTAAAGAAAAAAAATTAATGATTAAATATTAATTTAGTTTAATATATTTACATGCATCTGAATAATAAAATGGTAATTTTTTATAAGTTATTTATTTTTTTCCGGGCGGACCTCTGCATAATAGGTCCACCGCATCGTTAATTCTGGCCGAAAAAGTAGCATTATAGGCCCGCACGCGCCTACAAGCCAGAAGTGGAAGTGAACATGTTTCTATTTCTGAGCCAAGCGGCTGCACGGTTTCCATGGTAACATGACGTCAGCCTAGCGGCAAATGTAAACCCCCCCGCCCCGAAGTTTATTATCGGAGACCGATGTGAATGAGTTTTTGGTTTTGGGCAGTTCTCTTCGTCTTCCGTTTGTTCAGGAAATGCGTGATGGCGGCGCATAATATATGCATTTATGCTAATATTCGGCTACTTCGGCGAGTAATTAACCGTGTAAAGACTGCAAAGTTAATGGCTTTTGCTGATTTAACTTGTTAATTTTTGCCGATTTTTGCTGTTTTTTTTGTTGTTGCGTTTTAAAACTGTTTTGTGTGTGTGTATGTGTTAAAAAATGAACCTAATTAATGACTTGGTGTGCAATTTATTGGAAACTCCCTTCAGACGGCGGACAGATGAAGATAAGAGTGATGTTTTATCTCAAGGGTGACCAACTGAAACTTTAACCATAAATTGCAAAAAAGAAATAAGAAAAAGTGGTAAATCTTATAATATTAAATTTAAGTCTTCCTGGTTTTCTGCTTTTAATTGGCTATGTAGTAGTATTGTTTTACAAAAATTATTTTGTTGGTTGTATTTACTATTTTCTAATAAACATGGCATTTGGAATAAAGAAGGGTTCATTGATTTCGTAAATATAACAAGATCTTTGCATAAACACGGGGATTCTGCAGAACATTTAAAATGCCAGTTAATCCTAAGAAATTAAAAAAAAATCAAAATACAATAGCCGATGCTTTAGAAGAAAACGCTAGACTCTATAAGCTTAATTTTAATGAAAATGTTCGTTTAAATAGGCTTTAATGAATATAATTAATTAAATGACGATATTACTGATAAGTTTGCATCAATAAAGAACAGAAAAATTGAGCTGATTTAGGTACAAAAATTAGTAAGGTTAGTAATATAAATATGTCAAATTTATTTTGGTTAATATTGGTTAGTCAACATTAATGTAATAATAATTAATGTAATAATTGAATAATAATTGAATGGCTCCTCGGTTGTAAACGACAATTTTTTCAATATCGAAATTTCAGTGAAAAAACCGAGGAAAAAACGCTATACTTATGAAAATTACAACCTTATTTCACTGCAATCTCTATTTTGAAAAAAATGTCGGTTACAACATTTTTCGGGGAAGCCATTCAATAATTACAGTGTTCGCCATAAAGTTCGATCCATATGGATGTTTTTTTGGTATTAGATTTAAAAAAAACTTTTTGTGGCTATCAATTCTGCTTTAAAAACAACTTAAAATGCACCAAGTCAAATTTGAAACATAATTTTATTAGTCACTTTTTTTAAAATAATAATAATTTAACCAATTTTTAAAAATGTCTTCTAAATATTTTGTATTTGACAGCACCCAGATGTTAGCTGTCAACTTTGGCTTGGTGCATTTTAAGTTGTTTTCAAAGCAGAAGTGATTGCCACAAAAAGATTTTTTAAAACTCTAATATAAAAAAAACGTCCATATCGATCCAACTTTATGGTGGACACTGTATATAATGTTTATTATATTTAATTTAAATTTAATTATATTTTCACTGGAATGCAAAATAATGTGTTTATCGAAAACTGGTTGTATCTCTTTTTACTTAATGCGTTTTAGCCCAAACTAAAATGAAAATATTATAGGTATTAGTGTATAAATAATAACAAAAAAAAATGTTGACAAAATGGCGAATGCAGCAAAAAATTTTTAAATAATATTTAAGAAAATGTTGACAAAATCGTGAATGCGCCAAAAAAAATTTCGGCGCAATTTAAAAAAAAACTAACTCTTCACCTAATTTTTCCCCATGAGCCGCCACTGGGGTCACTTAAAATTTAATATTGTTGCTCAAATACCTTAGCTTTCCACATAAACCAGAACTTAAATACATCACATTTTCTACCACACTGCAGGTATTTATCACCAACATCGTACTTGGAATCGTAGTACTTATCCCTTTGGAAAAGGTACTCAGCGCCTCTGGAATGGCATGAGTGGAGTAAATTCTTGTCTCGAACTAACAACAAAGAGCACTGTTGGGGCACAGCAAGTAGTTTATGAGGATTGATTACAATCGAGTCTGCTAATTCTATACCATTGAGCTTAGTTCTAAAATTTGAGCATCATTTGAAGTCATCATAATTTAACATTCCTGAATAATTGTATAATTCATTGAGATCAAAACTGTTGTATCTACCTATATCTTTGTGAAAATAATAATCCACCGCCCCATGCTGCATCCACATGTAGCCATAAACCGTGCTTTTTACATATAGCTGATATCTCAGCTACAGGATCAAAGGCTCCTCTAACTGTAGTACCTAATTTTTAAAGAAAAATAAGAATATTACAATAATTTACTTGGAATATAAACAACAACTTACCCATTGTTGCAACAACCATAAGCGGAACAACATTTTTATCTTTATATTTGATTATGTTTTGTTCCAAATCGTCTGGAACAATTTTACCAACCTCGTCGGTTTTTAGTTTTATTACAGCTTCTTCACCTAATCCGAGGAAGCTGGCAAATTTGAATATGGAATAGTGGCATTCTTCTGAGGTAAACATTACTAAATCCGGTAAATTTTTACTTCCGGACTTCTAAAGAATACACAATAAATGTAAAGAGATTAGAAAAGCTATTGCAACACTTCGATACTTACTTTAACTTGAGGGAATCTACTAAATCTAGCCAGATTAATGGCAGTTCCGTTGCCAAATGATCCACCAGGACAGAACATGCCATCACCCCATTCCAATCCCACCATCTTGCATACCTCATTGATTACATGTTGTTCCATCAACGTAAAAACTGGAGCTACTTCATAAGTGTACACGCTTGCATTTAAAGCGTCGGTCAACCATTGAGCTGCCAAGCCGTAGGGATCAAGCCTACAAAAGTTGCAGCATAGAATAATTAACTGAGTTGCAGCTTAAGCCAATAGGCTTGTTGCATTTCAGTTGATTTTAAAAAATTCCGACCGCAGGTGCAGAAATCAGGAATTTTCGCTGTGTATTTCAAGGCGTCCCGGTTGCATATTTGTAAACAACGTCCATGATCGCGATTCGGTTCTAGGCCGAACGAAGCCTCGTAGACAGCATACGATATCGCAAATCCGTCTAGGAAATAGCATCCGTGATTCCAAATTTTAACTGCCTTAACTCCTCTTATAAACAGTAGACGATATCGCGAAATTTGTTGATTAGTTGCTGGTAATCAGCATTCAAGATCGCAAAATTGCATGATGTCTACCAAAAAATTGGCGCCGGGAGGCCCATATAGCCGCCCATACTAAAATATGTTAACAAAAAGTTGGTAGGCAGTTCTTTTAGTTTCAAAGTAAAGGAATTTTTTCAATATTTTTTTATCTCAAAAACTGCGACTTTGACTGATTTTGATGTTATTACAAATTTTGTTGCAAATATTCCTATTCTTAAATTGAAAACCGCGTTTCGCTAGCTACTGTAATTTTTGAGTTACGATTTTTTAAAATTTTTAACCCCCTCCCATACCCCCTTACCAACCCTCCACCGCCACCAAAAACTAATAGCCAGATTCTCGGGTGCCACAGTATTTTTGTGCCAAATTTGGTTAAAATCGGTTTAGCGACGCGACGCCGACGTTCTAAAACGAATAAGAATTGTCGAGACAAGTCTGGATTGTCTGTTGCTCTCATATATAAGCAGACGCCTGAGGCCTGAGGAAGACAGAGAACAAACAGACGTTCGACGTGTACACAGTTGTCGCGCGCTGAATTCAAAATAAATTCCTATTAGATAAATAGTCAGATAAATTGTAAATAAGTTATAAATAGTTCTTTAAGTCTTTTAATCGTTATTGTTTTTGTTAATTAGTGTTAAATAAATTGTGTTTAAATAAATTGTGACTTTCTATCAACACGGAACCGACGAAAAACGTAACAATATCAAGTATGGGCGGCTATACGTGCCTCCCGGCGCCAATTTTTTGTTATAATTTTATCAAAAATAGTTAAGGACAGGGGCGGATACAGAAATTTATTTTAGGGGGGCCCAAAATAAAAAGCAATGTAGAATATGCTTTTTAGGGTACAATAAAATTTTTACCCAAAAACCTAATATTTTACACAATTTCCAGATTTTAGGGGGGCCCGTGTCCCATGGGCCTCCCCTCTGTATCCGCCACTGGTTAAGGACACATCTTTTTTTTTTTTTAAAGTTAGGTATTAGAAATTTATATTGAGTTCTATATGGAAAATATATTATATCTCTATTTTGTTTTAAGTAATTTGCATGCGTATGTAAGTTGGATGAACATAAAATAGTGTTATCAGGGAATCTATTTTAGGTTGATTTCCCGACACGATTTTAGGTTTTACTTTATACGAGTAGTCGTATAAAGTAAAACCGCACATCAACAGTGTATTCAAACAGCACGTCAACGTGTATTTTTTCGTACGATCACTAAAGTTAAACATCAATATGCGTGATTGTTATTGGAAGGGGTGGCCGCTTGAAAAGGCCCCTTTTTTATTTTTAGCTCGTTTAATTTGTGTTGACAATCAAAATTTGCGATCCAAAATGCTGATTACGAGCAACCCATCAATAAATTTCGCGATATCGTCTGGTGTTTATAGAGGTGTTAAAGGCAGTTGAAATTTGGAATCACGGATGCTATTTACCAGACGGATTTGCGATATCGTATGCTGTTCGTTCGGCCTAGAACCGAATGGCGATCATGGACGTCGTTTTTTTCGAAAATTTGTAGTACATGGAGGTACCGGGACGTATATTTAATATACGTCCCGGTTACAGTTCATGTTGATCGCATTAAAATAATACTGAAATGGCTTTGTCAAAATATTTAAGTATTTTAGTTTTTTGGTAGTGCAGTTATCAGGGTTGGCATGATTTAAATCATGATTTAAATCGTGATTTAAATCAAGTGATTTTTTCAATTTTAATCGTGTGATTTAAATCAAATAAAATAATTTTATTGAAACTTTATAATAAATCAAAAAATAACTGTAAAAGTTATAAAAATGTGTCCTAGAAAACTATAAACATTTTCTATAACAGATGTAGCAGATAATAAATCGAAAAATAATTGTATAATAAAAATATCTATTCATCAATTTAATTGATGGACCGATTTTTGAACTAATTTCGTGTGAATCCATTAGACCGCTAAACACCAGGATTTATTTTACAATTTCTGTATAACTGACAAAAATTCGCTGTTCAAATACATATCATTCGCAAAGTTTAGTGCAGAACTAGGTTCTTTTAATATAGAGATTATATCTTTATTCCCGAGAATCTATAATTTTATTGTTGTCAGAAAATATGTTGTTTTATATTTTTTTATTTATTATTGGTTGTGTTTCCAAATTCCTACCGACATTTTGATCTGCAGTAAGTACTTTACACTTTGATATTAGATAATGCATACTAATTTCATTCTCGACTTAAGATTATTTCCGAACAATAGTGTATTGTTTTATTTGGAGTAAAAATTATACTTTTTTTGACGATGCTATACCTTTGAAGGACCATCCTAAAGCTATTCCAACATTACAGGGAGGCACAAAAAGTACATTTTTATTCCGAATAGAACATATCATTTTTTTTAAACATTACAAATAATTATTTAATCAATTTCAAACATTGCAAATAATATAAACAGTAATCTATAAGTTTAATAATATATTTTTGTGCTTAGGCGTAACAGTGCTTTACTTTTATGCCTAGGCGTTAAAATGACAAAAAATTAATACTTTTGAGACGTTTGAAAAAAATCCTTTTGATCTGGAGCGAACGACTTTTCTTTGCGGAATATATTGGTGGAATATATGTGAAAAAATCACACGCCCCGTAGATTATTAATGTTAATCTAGATAGATTTAGCCATTTAGGATAGGACTTTAATTGGAAATAAGTCCTAGTCATTTGCAAATCCGATTTAAATATTGTTTTGAATTCAAATCAAAAAAATCTGATTTAAATCAAAAAAATCTGATTTAAATAAAAAAAATCTGATTTTTTTGATTTTTTTAAAAAAATCATGATTTTTTCCAACCCTGGCAGTTATTGAAACTTTAAAACACTCGGGTACGAGGTTTGTATGACCTAACGCTGTTTAGGGTAGTAAACCCGCTTCTACCGGCAAGTAAAATTGCTGCAATTTTTCTTGCGTGCAAGTAAAATTGCGAACTGCTAAGCGGGCTTAAGAAATACCTTGTATATTTAGTAATTCTGTTGGATTGGCATTTTTATGAGCCGATTAAAAAATAGGGTTAAATAATATTCAAAGCCGGATTCGACGTTAACTTAAACTGAGCAGATTCTATTAAATATTAAAACTTCTTCAGTGTAGAGCCGAGAAAGTTCCCCTTTAAATAGAAATTCGCATTATATTTGGGCATAGTACAAATCTATAAGAGCCAACCAATTTCAATTTTCGGAAAGTCGAATAAAATATCTTCTATCTCATTCTAGTTCGTTGTACGAAAATGGGAACAGAAGTGCGAATTTCTAAATGGGAAATGTAGCGTAAGATGTATTTTATGGATGTTCCATTATTCCCTTTTGTAAGTAACACTCTCATTTTTTTTTACTTTTATTTGTTTTTTGGGGTAAAAAAATCTTATTATACATTTGGTTCATATAGTATTTTTAGTTTTAAAACTTTTGTAGGTGATTCATAGATTAATTCATTTATAAATTCAATGATTGTTGTAAATAGCAAGCCATAAAACCGATAGAAATTCCGAAAATTAAACCAAACCTATAAATTTAGCACAGCGAATTTACTGTTTGTGAATTAATATTATAGTTATGGGAAAGACGATTACGAAAAACGACAAAACTCCAGGGCCTGATGATATGTATTCGGAAACGTTCCACTTAATTAATGAACAAAACTTAAAAATTATAGTACAGCTTTTCAATAACATCTATGACACCGGTCACATCCCTGAAGACTGGCTTCGTTCTACGTTTATCACGCTGTCCAAGTCAAGCAACGCAACTTCGTGTAAAGAGTATCGTCTTGTTAGTCTAATGAGCCACTTTCTTAAGTTCTTTCTGCGGGTGCTACATACAAGACTCTACAAAAAATGTGAGGAAGTAAGTGGAGAAAGCCAATTTGGATTTAAGAACGGCTTTGGTACTAGAGAAGCCATATTCAGTCTTCAAACTTTAGTATAGAATTGCCAAGATCAGAAAAAGATGTCTTCATGTGCTTTATAGACTACGAAAAAGCTTTCGATAATAACCTCCTTATATCATACCTCAGAAACTTGTGACTTGATGGAAAATATATAAGGCTCATCTGTAATTTGTATTGAAACCAAAAAGCTGAAATTCGTATACATAGCATGGGAGTAACTGAAGATTTTGAAATAAAAAAGGGGGTAATGCAAGGGTGTATTCTGTCTCCAATGTCGTTCAATTTATATGTGGAAAAAGCATTTACTGAGTCAACCTCCAATAGTCCCATTGGTTTGAAAATAAATGGCATTCCAATTAATAATATCCGATATGCGGATGACACAGTGATATTGGCAGACAATGCAAATGATCTCCAAATCCTTCTAAATAAGGTTAACAATGAAAGCCAAAGACTGGGTTTAAACATAAGTACTATATATAAATATATTAATCGGTTTAAAACGTTCTACGTCTTCCGATGCCATCTCTCCATGCCTGTCTGTCTCTCCATGCATCGTCTCCGAGAGATCTTTCCTCCATAAACGTGTCAATCCCTTCCTGCCAACTTCTTCTCGGTCTACCCGGTTTTCTTCTTCCTGCAGGTTTCCAGTTTATAATTTGCTTTGCGATTTTTATTTCTGCCATTCTTTGGACATGCCCGTACCATATGAGTTGACTGTTCTTTATGTCGTCCACTATATGTTTAACGTCCGGTATGTTTAACTTCCATAATATCTCTTATGCGTTCATTAGTTATTCGCTCGAGTCTTGATTTGCCTGCTGATCTTCTCCAAAAATCCATCTCTGTAGCTTCCAGCATTCGTTTTGTTGTTTCCTTAATTGGCCACACTTCACAGCTGTACGTGGTTATACTCTTGATGATGGTATTATATATTAGAGTTTTGTTCTTGTTGTTTATGCTTCTGTCCCACAGTATCCCATTCAATACCGTGATAGCATTCCTTCCAAGTTGGTTTCGTTCTTTAATTGCTGTATCCAACAGTCCATCATGTGATTTGCATACCCAAATATTTGTATTTTGTGCAGCACTTAATTTTCTTCCCATCTAGTATTAGATCTTGTTGTTCTCCTTCGATACATATATATTCTGTTTTGTTAGTATTGATCTCGAGTCCCCATTTCTGATATTCTTCTATAAACTTACATAAATACTACAAAAACTAAATTTATGGTTGTTAGCAGAAACAATATTCCGAACACCAGAAGTTACTTAAATGGAGAGGTCCTCAAGCAGATGACACAATTTAAATATTTGGGATGCATGGTTAATGAAACGTGGGATCCAGATCAGGAGATCAAATGCAGGATCAAACAAGCAAGATCTACTTTTCTGAGACTGCGAAGATTTCTCACAGATGGGAACTTGAACTTCGGCCTTAGATACTGAATGGTGAAGTTCTATGGCTGGTCCGTTTTGTTATATGGTGTGGAAACATGGACACTGGAGGTAGCAACAATAAACCGAATTGATAAACCGCCTTCGAAATGTGGACCCTACGACGAATGCTAAGAGTGCCCTGGGTCGACCGTGTGAGGAATGAAGACATTCTCGGAAGAGCTGGTCTAGAAGAACGTGAATTCTTCGAAATCATCAAGAAGAGGAAAATAGCCTATTTGGGACGCATACTACGTAAAGAACGCTATCATTTTCAGCGTCTGATTCTCCAGGGTAAAATAGAGGGGGGCAAAAGAGGAATAGGCCGAAGGAAGCTATCATGGCTGAGAAATATTCGTCATTGGAGAGGCATACAGGACTTCCAAGCACTCCAAGTCGCTGCAGTTAATAGAACCATCTGATGAGGAAAAAAAAGATGAACGCCTACGCAGGAATCTGCACGGCACCTCAAGAAGGAGATGGGAAAGAAAACTGTTAAAAAGCATAATATCCTGATACTATGGCAACATAGGTAGTAGATTAAATTTACAAGAAAGAAAACCCAGAAAAAATTTTAAAATTTTTATTTTATCTAGTCAATCACGTCGCAAAAATTAATACTTTGGGACGTTTGAAAAGCATATATTTTTATGTAGAAAATGCCTCCAGAAAAAATCTATTAAAAAAGTGCAAAAGCCCAAGTAGCATTTTTAGACACAAAATCGAAACAAAATCTCTGCTGAGAAACATTGCGAAACAGTTTCGTCACATTTTGACATTTTTGATACATATGTTTCGTAACATAAATCGTTTTTTCTTTTGAAGCATTTTACCAAAATATGGTTTCGCTACATAAGCTATAAAAACAAAGATCTTAGTGTCACAAATTTTTCGAAACTTTTAAGAAACAGAAAAACAAAGAAACTATGTTCTACAAACCTGTTTTGTACATGAAAAGTTTCCATAATTCATTTGATATTCTGTGTCAAATATAAGAACATAACCTTACTTTATTGTTTAGATTTTGTTCTGCAGTTTTTGCATTTAAGCATTCTTCAAGTTTTTATAGTACTATAATTAAAAAAGCAGAAGGAAGGACATATGGTGAGTACAAATACAGATATTTTTCTTATGCGATTGTATAATTATTTATTATACGCGTTACAGAGACGATTTGTTTTAGGAATAAATGTAATAACATCCACTACCCATACCCAACAGGAGACCGAAGAAAAATGTTACTAGCAAACGTTTTTTTCTATTTTTTCCACAACGGAACACATGTTTTTTTGTTTTAATTGTGTTATAAGAAGTAAATAAAAATGTTTTGATTATTTTGACCAGCAGTTTTGATTGGCTTTGTTGACAGGTAACTAGTTCAAAATTTCTACACAGATAACGTTAAATCGAAACATTTTGAAAACAAGGTTTCCATTTATTGTCGATTCATTTTCGAAACACGAGTTTCTCTCTTTTTAGACACAAGTATGATATAATGTATACGATTTGTGTCCGACTCCATGTCAATTTTATAAAATAATGAATTAAAATTCCGCAATGTTAGCTAGTGACAGCGTTTTTAACTAAAAATATATGTCTTTATCGGCTTTTAAACTCATGTGAACGCGTTCTACTTACATTGATTTATATATTTTTATTTTCAGAACCATGGTAATTAAAATAAAAATCTATATTTCAGACTTGATTTATTATCAAATTAAACGATGAATTTGCTTTTGCTACCAATTTTTTGTACAAGAAAACCTAAAAACAAAGGTTTTAAGACAAAAATATAAACGCGGAGGTCGACATTGTTGACGGCTGTTTTCATTTTGAAATCCACACACATACATAGACTATTTTAGTTTGGCATTTTGTTTCTTCACATTTAGAAACGTTGGCTGCTGAAAACGGAAACATCTTGGACTCAAATTGCAGAAAATGTTTCGAAACATTTCCTCTGAAAGTTTTGATTCCGCATCGAAACAGGAAACTGCTTTCAGGAAACGACTAGTGTCACCACATTGGAAACATATGTAATAAAACCATATAAAATATATAGTTTTCGAAAATGGTCCCTATTTGTGGCATACCGTTTCCATTTTGTATCAAGAAACAGACACAATTATTAGAAACATTACCTAAAATGTATCTATATATGCTACATGGGATACTTAAAGGAGTTTTGCAGCCAAACCGAGACCAAGGGAGCCTTGGTCTTGAGCTTGCATTAGCCCATCACTAATTAAAAGTCAGTACCATTTACAAAAATAATAATTTTTCATAAACTAGTTTTTACTCACCCTGAAAACAGCTGATTTACGAAATACGGATGACCAGTCTTCACGCTAAACTTCACCGTATTCTTCAGCACTTGTATCAACTTCTCCTGAGACTCTCCATTCTGTCCCAGTTCAAAGTCGAATTCTTTCAACAAATCCTCTGGAGATCTCCACAACAACACTTTATCTTTTCTCGTAGTAAACACTACAGTGTTGAATAATAATTCTACGACTTTTTCCAGAAAATTTTTGTGCAACTCTTTGCTGGGCAACGGTTTGAAATCGCCCATGATTTCAGACTGAATGAAGAGGAATAACTAATCTAACTTTTTTTATGAGTGAAGCGATTTGATTTAGGCATCCTAATTAAGTTAATTTATTTGATTAGTGCCTCTTGTTAAAAAAAACGGTGATTACTAAAGCAGTAATTCGCCGCGGTAATTTAAAAATTATTTTGAAGTTAGTTCTGGTTAATGAGCATTTACTTTAACGTAAAGTCTGATAAAAATTAAGATAAAAAGATAAAAAAAGTAGTTAACAACTTTTAAATGTGAGATTGCACTTCTTACATTGACTATACTTAAGGTGGTCATTTTTTTGAAGCAATACAACGCATAACGAGCATTTGTAAACAATTACCAGGGCACTTTCCTGAATACCATCGAAAAAAAAAAAATCGGCCTCAGAGTTTTGTTGGGAATATAAAGGGCGAGTTTTAAATAAGTGCAAATATTTTTAGAGGTGGTATATTTCGACCCCAGGAATACGTCTACGAGTTTTTTTCGCAAAAAAAAGATGTTGAAAATCGATATTGAAAATCGGCGAAAAAAAGCCGAAACATGGTTACGGCTTTACTCTATGGTTGTGGCATTAAAAGGGATGCAAATATAAAAAAAAAACGGTGGTTCTGAATTTTTTTATAAAGTGAATATATATATATATATATATATATATATATATATATATATATATATATATATATATATATATATATATATATATATATATATATATATATATATATATATATATATATATATATATATATATTTATAAAAAAATTCAGAACCACCGTTTTTTTATATTTGCATCCCTGCCACAACCACAAAAGCCGTAACCATGTTTCGGCTTTTTTCGCCGATTTTATCGATTTTAACATCTTTTTTTGCGAAACACTGTATTTTTTTTTTTTTAATTTTCAAACTTGAATAACTCAGTTATTTTGGATTTATTTGAAAAACGGTAAAGGGTTCTTTTACCGAGACCTACCAGCCTTGAAAATATTTGTACTTATTGAAGATTCACCCTGTAGATCATGACAGCGATTCAATTTATATGTAAAATTTTATGGGGGATGTTATCATTCGGCATTTTAAGCTAAGTTGACGCCCTTTATTTTTCGATCACAAAAAGTATTGGACCCAAAATCGTATAAGTGCGGAAGTTTTTGGCTTTAATTTCATAAAACCACTGTTGTTTATTTATGAGTTAAGACTTCAATGTATGTTTACAGTTTCAAGTTTGAAATTTCAAATCAAAAGGGTATTTACTAAAATAGTCATACATATATTAACATTTTATTTGGGAGTGAAATATTTTACTTTTAAACGGTTGTTACTGAATCTCTCTCGAATTTGTCTTCCTTTCTTATAACGGGATTTATTATAATGAAATGGCATGAAATGCAAATATCTAAAAGCTTGCCTGATAGCATTTTCCAGGTCTTCAACATTGTTGTACCCAAGAACGGTAAACTAATAGGATTGCTCATCCTCATAAGACGTACGTTCGCCTCTTCCCGCGCTTCAGCTGACAGTTGTGACGTGATTGTAGCCCTTGTCAAAGTTTTCGTGGCCTTGTCATGATAGTGTGTATTATTAGTTGCCTATGGTAAACTTATAAAATAACAGCTGAGAAATTTTGAGTTAATTATTTTGTCAATTTTAAATGTGAAAAAGGTGTCTTTAAAGCTTTTAGAGCTATAGAGTGTATAAATACGTTCATTTTGTGTTGTGGATTGTGACAAAGTGCATACCAAGTGCCCACGATTTTGTTTATTAATTATTTTAAAGCAAAATATGGAAGTACTCTAAAAAGAATGCTTGCAAAAGGTGATACACTGGGAACTGCTGTTCTTAAAAATGCATTATCCGAGTATTTAATACGATTTATACAGTTAATTTTCTATACTGCATACATATAAGGTGTTTAAATAAATAAACTAAATAATGAACGTTTTGCATTTGATAACCAATAATGCACGTGTGTGTATTATTGGTTGCCGGATAAGGACTAATAACCATGACAAGGGCTACAATGACGTCACAAAGCGAGTAGTTTTCGCAGCACCTGGCGGACACTTTGGCTAATGAACAGTCCTATTAGGTTAACTATTCTTGTGTTGTACCTACTAGTCACTAAAGTAGCTGTCAGCTCATCGATATATTTCATATTTCAAAAATCCCTAAATGCAGAAATCGAGAAATCCGAGATCAGCGAAGGGCATTGTATCGGTCCATTGGCCCCATTTCATTGATTTGGGAAATTGTCATTTACGAAAAAATTCTAATATTTTCAAAGTTGTGAGAAGGAGCCCCATCTTGCTGAAAGTATATTTCACGTAAATTAGCTAAAGGAATAGGTATCTAAAAGTTCCGGTACGATAGCTTCCAAGATTTACAAATCGCGGTCGGAAAAGTTTCTCTCTATAAAGAATTTATTTAGATTAGATTAGATTAGATTCTTAGAGGTGGCTTTCGACCTTCGACAGGTGGCCACTGCGACCTTCTCAGATCTATTGTGGTCCTCTTCTGATCCTTAGATTACATTCTCCAGTCCTAAAAAAAAGAATTTATTAGTGACTCCCAAAATAAAACAAGAAACTGATAAAAGTATATGTTTAATAATTCTTTGGTTTCTTTTAATATCAATTATGGCCTACTAATAAAAATTATCTTTTAATAAATTTTTTTAAATATTGCAGTAAATAGTAAAAATAAATATAGAGTGATATACCGAATGATGCATCGTCGTTGGAAACATAGGAAATCCCATGCAAATTTTGAATTGTCTAGATATTGGCCCTCCTATCAATTTTATAGAAGTCGTAAATATATTTTTTTAAGGTCTAGGTTTCGTAAACACATGCCAAATTTTAATAATTTTGGACTAGCCGATTTTGAGTAATTTGAGAACTGAATCGATTTTTAAATTACAACTGAATAGGTAACAAACACCAGTCAAAAACTGACATACCTTAAGTTGTCAGCGTCATTTTCGAACGTAATTTTAATGAAATTTTAATATTCCGTACTAATAATTTATTGTTATTCACATAAAGAAAAAGTGAGCATGGTAAAATGAGTACACCGGGAATTAGCTTAGACCAGTGTATCTGACATGTTTCGGTTAATTTCTCCTGAATATTAAAATTAAATTACTTTTGACAATGACAAAAGCATAGTTTGTAAACCTAAAGTATATGTCAGTTTTTGGCTGGTGTTTGATTGTTACCTGTTCGGTTTTAATTGAAAAGTAGATGCAATCTTTCTTAAATTACTCAAAATCGGCTGGTCCAAAATTGTTCAAATTTGGCATGTGTATTTACCATATATAAATCCATAAAAACTTATTTACGACTTCGCTGTAAAATCAATAGGGGAGCCAATATTTGAATAGTTCAAAATTTGCATGGGGTTTCCTATGTTTCTAACGACGATGCACCACCCGGTATATTTTTGAGAAGCTTAAGACAATCCAGATCGTATAATTTATAAATATACAGGGTGTTCCGTTTAAGAAAACATAATTTTAATTCATATCTTCAAAAATATCTACAATAAGCAGTTTTAACTTTCTCAATACCTTTCACAATAACAGAGATATCCCAAATTGCAAAATTTCCCATACAGCACATCAAATCACATTTACGATGTGTTTACATTATTAGACGTAGACACAGGGTGACACAATTCCCCCGATATAAATATGCTACGTTTACACATTGTAGTTCAACACGTATGCACAAAGGTTAAACGTCCGCCTCACAATGTAGCCACAGTATAGCATTTACGTATACACAAAGTAAGGGATACACAGTGTGCCGTAGGATACACAGTGCTTGTGTATTACGTTTAAACTTACCTGTTCGGTTTTAATTGAAAAGTAGATGCAATCTTTCTTAAATTACTCAAAATCGGCTGGTCCAAAATTGTTCAAATTTGGCATGTGTATTTACCATATATAAATCCATAAAAACTTATTTACGACTTCGCTGTAAAATCAATAGGGGAGCCAATATTTGAATAGTTCAAAATTTGCATGGGTTTCCTATGTTTCTAACGACGATGCACCACCCGGTATATTTTTGAGAAGCTTAAGACAATCCAGATCGTATAATTTATAAATATACAGGGTGTTCCGTTTAAGAAAATAAATTTTAATTAATGAATATCTTCAAAAATATCTACAATAATGCACGTGTGTGTATTATTGGTTGCCGGATAAGGACTAATAACCATGACAAGGGCTACAATGACGTCACAAAGCGAGTAGTTTTCGCATGCACCTGGCGGACACTTTTGGCTGAATGAACAGTCCTATTAGGTTAACTATTCTTGTGTTGTACCTACTAGTTGCCACGATATATTTCATATTTCAAAAATCCCTAAATGCAGAAATCGAGAAATCCGGAGATCAGCGAGGGCATTGTATCGGTCCATTGGCCCCATTTCATTGATTTGGGAAATTGTCATTTAACAAAATTCTAATATTTTCAAAGTTGTGAGAAGGAGCCCCATCTTGCTGAAAGTATATTTCACGTAAATTAGCTAAAGGAATAGGTATCTAAAAGTTCCGGTACGATAGCTTCCAAGATTTACAAATCGCGGTCGGAAAAGTTTCTCTCTATAAAGAATTTATTTAGATTAGATTAGAGCAGTTTTAAATTACAACTCAATACCTATTCACAAATAACAGAGATAACCCAAATTGCAAAATTTGTCAGCAGCACATCAAATCACATTTTACGAAATGTTTACATTATAGACGTAGACACAGGGTTATTGTTATTCCGATATAAATATGCTACGTTTACACATTGTAGTTCAACACGTATGCACAAAGACCAAACGTCCGACATCTCACAATGTAATTTCCTCCTGAGTATAGCATTTTACGTATACACAAACAAAGGGATACACAGTAAACCGTAAAGTATACACAGTGCTTGTGTATTACGTTTAAACTTACCTGTTCGGTTTTAATTGAAAAGTAGATGCAATCTTTCTTAAA